TTTAAAAAGATATGCAAAGGAATAATAAACCAATTAAGTATTATAATGGACATATAGTTTCTAAATTACTGATTTAATTTATGACATAAATAAAATAATGTAAAAATCGATATAACTACAATATGCATTTATTTGTTATTTAATATGACAATTATATAATTCTTTACGATATCGAATTTTGATAGCTCAGTATTTATATACTCAATCATTAATATCAAAACGATTATGAGTACATTATAATGATTTTATTTTTCACGTTATTATAATTATTATATTTCAATTCATAAAAATAATACAAGTTAAATACAAGGTCAAAAACAAATTTATAAAAATTATAATTAAAATTTTTAGATGATGTAAAAAAAGAAATGCATTTAAAAAATGCACAATACACACGTAATTTACGCTTTCTTTCAGTGATTCTCAAATATATTAAATTATACACGCGTTCTCATTCATCCTCTTACTTGTAGTTTGTAACTACATCAAACCTCCGACTGGATATCAATATATAAATTTCGTGTTGATCTAATATAAAACAATACAATGCAAATTTTGACAAATTAATTATAAATAAGTATTGCTTTAAAAGATAATACTATTGCAATGTCAATTGATGACTAATAAAATCGGGATATTATACTTTTTTTCTACAAGGTTTCCCTTTACCCCCTTTGGAAAATTACGGTTATGATACACTTGCATTTTCCTAACGTTCAATGAGACAAGTCATAAAAAACGAGAAAACTAAACAATTCTGAGGTAAAGAAAATAAATGAAGTACACAAGCTTTCAACATATCCTCGATAGTGTTCTATCTAAGTCAGTCTTTCTAATCGAAAATTGGTTTTCTTTATAAAAAAATTTAAATTATGTACTGCCTCTGACAAGCACAGTTATGATCGGCATAACTTCAGTTATCTTTGATACAATAAGGTATATTTTGTTGACTAAAAATTTTGAAGAACATCACAGCTGATTTTTGAATTCAACAGTTACTGATAAAACTTCTAATCTAAGTAATTCATAAATTTATGAAAAATATTTGGTAAGATATTTTAATTAAATATTATCTATTGCTTATATAGAAAATTAATATTAAAAGTTTTCTCGTTTGTTAAAATCAAAATAATATTAAGGAAAAAATTTGTAATAAATATTTATAAGTGTAATTAATAAAAGTTAATTATAGCTTACTCCCGTTTAATTAGAATTTTATTTACTTTGACTATGATTGGAAAAATTAAATACTGGTAGAGACCAACATACTATATCTTAATTATCTAAAGCAAAAATATTCTTTACACAATGAACAACAATTCATATTTGTAAATGCTTTTTACAAAATAGAATAGATTTATTATTTTAGTACTTTATTTTTTACGAGAAAATTCAACGAAGGAAATGTTACAATTATAAATATAAACAGATCAGTGACAAGAGCATATTCTATGTATTTATTCTGAAGTTTTATTAAAAAGAATTATTGTATTAAAAAATAAAATTTGATATAAATAATAAAATAATAAATAATAATAAAATTTATTTTGCAAATGGCTCTGTGCATAGTGAAGAGGTATCATCAATATTCAATACAATTTTTCAATAACAAATAATCATGTTTATTATTCGAAATATGATTATATATATGATTATATATATATATATATATATATATATATATATATATATATATATATCTCGATGATTATACAAATTGAATTATATAAATTTAGACGGAAATGTAAAGAGAAAATACAATCTAACTATTAGCATCTTTGACTGCTTATGTTCAATTTATTTAAAACTTCTCGATTTACAAGGAACTATATGCATCTTTTGTATTTTATAACTGAATACTCGAAATTTTTTTTATAAATATTAACAGAACCAATATGAAGAAGCAACTCATTTGGTTAATTAAGTCAAATTATCTGTTATTTTCTTTTTCAGATTGTAAATCAGTTTGTAAAGTTCTACAAGCACTTACAGGCTTTTAATCCTTCCTTTTTCCTTTTTAGTGATTGGGATTCATTCGTAATACCTACAGAATACTAATTCTTCATTCTGATTAAAATTTTCTATAATATTATACTGTTCACCTTTCTCTTTGTCGAATAAATAAAATATTTAATAAGAGAAACAGTTAATTAATTATCGATAGTTGATGAACTGGACAGTTTATTTAAAAAGATATACAAGTTTAAATCGCTAGATTAAAAGTTGCAAGCATTAAATCATATGTAGAACGTGAAATCACATAAAAAAAGTTACATATAACAATTAATTACTTAGCTCATTTTTTATTAAATTTTTTAATTAAAAGATTAATTAATTACGTAGTTTGATTTTTTTGCAAGTCAGATTTTTTTAATAGACCAAATTATAATTTTTGCTCAACTATGGTCACAAATATAAAATCATGTAATTTAAAAAAAAATCCTGTTTTGGAATTTCTATAATATTTCTCATTTCTTATTACAATATTGATTTAGTGAATATTTTATTTTATTAATGGAACCTAAAAATGATAAAAGAATGTGTTTAAAAATGTATGAAATATATTCAAGTATTTATGTTTTGGTTAGTTTTTCTGATAAAGATTTTGTATAAGTTAACGAATGTTAACTTTTTTTATATAATAAATAAATATTTCACGCTAAGAAATTATTTATTTGCCAAGAAGATGATTTATTTATAATATGTAACATATATTGTATGCATTCTTATATTATAATATTAAAATGTAATTTGTATTCAAAATTTTTCTCAAAAAGAATTTAACTTATGCTAAAAGCTAAAGTTCTTGTTTGTTATATAGAAGAGTTCAAATTTATATAACGTTTTAATATTAATTATTTTTAAAAATTATATTACAAAACATAATATTTATTTCATTAAGAAAATGGGGAACTTAAAAAAAATTTATGTAAATTTGTGTACTATTGGATAATTACATTATTTATTATTATATTTCAATTATATTTAAGTATTTAAAACATCAGTAGTTGTTGCTACAGCTCAACATATATTTCTTTAAATTCAATTTATTTTAAACACTTTCTGGATGTTTAAAATTTAAGATGTACTATTTTAAAAACTTACAAAATAAGTAAATACAAAACACTGTACAAAAATGTATTTAAATTTAGGTTCAATTATAATTGAAATATCCACAATGTGAAGCAATAATAATCTCTAAAATAATAATCTGAGCATAATCTCGGTTGAATACATAAATATTTGTCAAAACCATATAAATGGTTATTAGCATATCTAATCATATAAATTTGCATATACTGATATAATAAGTAACCTAAAGTGATTTATTACAGTGATAAATTCTTATTTTACAAAAATTTACAAAAATACATTTTGCAAAAATGTGATATATTTAAATAAATAATGTATACAATTTTTGTTGACTAAGATAAATAACATTTAATAATTGTGCTGTACAATGAATATGCATTCTAATGTTTAAAATTTTAATGATTTAAATACCTTTGTACTTTTTAAAAAGGTGCTAAAAAGTTCGATTCTGTAGATTGAAAGAAGTTTAAAGACTTTTATTTTTCTAGAATAAGTTCTGAGGCATTAGAAAGTTTTATTAGGGCATTCCCGAATATTTAATAAATATATATCCCAATTTTTATATCGCTATCAATGAACAGTTTCAATTAAGAAAATATTAAATTAAAACGATTGTAATAAAATATATTTGTGTTGGTCGCAATAATTATTATGTAACAATAAGGTGTTTATTTAGTTCATTTTATTTATATTATGTAAACCTTTCTTTCTGATTTCGGCTTTGTATGCAGCATTGTTATAAAATAAAGACGTTGGTTAATCGTACGTTGTATTAATTTAAAAATCATTATTACTGTTATTGTTGCTATTTATATGTCTTTTATATTTGTATGTCTTTTAATTAGTAGCAATCGTCGAAGCATACTAAAAGTATGAATTGCTCAACCAAAATGTTTGATTAAATACATAATACTAGTATTTAATGAAAAAACGGCTTTGAAATATCGTAGAAAGCAATTGATTTCAATTTTCAGATTGCAGCATTAAATTACAGCATTTAGGTTTAAATTGTAAATTTCAAATGTTTGTCCTGACATTTAACAACATGTGAAAGAAATATTTAATTTGCTGCATATTTTATCCTAAAGAAAATTTTTAACTATTATATATCGTTTTTTAATATCTTAACATTATTTTCTTCAACGATGCCGTTTTTCAAGTTTAATGAAAATATGAAAACTAATTTAACAGATAACAAAGTAGTAAACATTAATAGATTAAGTTATAAACTATAAAAGCTTTATTTCATAGTTCACACATAATACAGGATTTACGAATTGTTATTTAAGTTTCTGATTTATAAGTTTTAACATTTCTTCAGAATATAATTTATTTAACATTTAAGATGAATATAATATAAATAATTAGTCTGTTATTCATGATGATGACTGTGTAATATTGATTGAAGTATAATAATTCAACCTTTTTAATGGAAATATAATTTTTATGATATGTCAATTTTATTAATATGTCAATTTTCTTCAGTTTTTGATCTAATATTTATACTTTGGGAATGTTTCTTATAATTGGTTTTAGTTACTACTTTCAAAAATATATATTAATTTATCAAAAATTGTTAATATCTTTATTAAATAGATTTTTTTATTTTTAATTATTTATTTTTGTTTTCTAAACCACTTGAAAATTTGTTTTGAATATCTTGCACTTTTAAAAATATTCATCAACACTAACATATATAAAAATATCTGTTATATATTACTATATTATAAAAAAGAATTTTTTTAAAAATATGAATTCAATTGTACAAAGTTTCTCTTGATTTAAAAAAACAAGAAGATTTAAGAAAAAGCAACAATTTAAAAATGATAGTTGGTTTGAGTGCACCAAAATAAAAGAAAACAGCAAATTTATGGTGATTAATTCGTATCAACGTTTATATTTTACAGGTTATGCACCTTAACACTCACGCGGCTAGTGATCCTTCGCCCGCTTGGAGCTGATCTCGCTTCTATCAGCATTGCTGTGAAAATGCAGAGCTCCAAGCGTACACTCCGTTCAAACGAGATGATAGTACCGTCGGGGGGGATCCTCGACACGGAGCTTGAGCTTCAATTCGCCCTCCAATATCCACACTTTCTCAAACGTGATGGTAATAAGCTTCTCGTACTCTTGCAGAGACGCAAGCGATATAAGAATCGCACAATGCTAGGCTACAAAACTCTTGCTGAGGGTATCATCAATATGGCTCAGGTATATTTGTCATTGTGTCACCTTTTCCTTGTTTATTTTTTTTTCTTGCAGACGACCTGGTAGAAAGCAATTGAAGTTTTTTCATAAAAATGCATTTTTCCCCTCTTTGTTTATAAACAATTAAGATTAACATTATTATTAGGCCAGTATTAAATATGATAGAAAAGATGAAATCATATTTTAAACTATAATTTATTATTAACTTTTGAAAATATACATAAATTTCAAGATTAAATATGCTCCCATTATTTAACTAATGAAGGGTTGGGTAACGCCTTCTTATAAATTTAGATCTATTAAATACTCATCTAAGAACATTTTCTTTTAACAATTAACTCATTAAGGAATTCAGATTTTAATAATTGTGTATAGCATTGAAATTATTTTTTCATAAAAATGGTGTATTATATAAATTTTATAATAAATATAAATTCAAATTTCTAACTTCATTACATAAGCTAACGCAATTATAAAACTAGTGGTTTTTTATAATGAAGAATGTTTGAAAAATAGATAATACAGCATTTACATTTTATGTAATAAAAGTTAATGATTATACTAGTCTAATAAAGTTAATTAATTGACTCTTAAAAGTAAACTTTATACTTATTTGATTTTGGTAAAATTTGGCTTGCTAGTTATAGACAATACTATCGTTGAATGTTCTGGTAATTGATTTAAGCTAATACATAGTTTATACACTTTATATAATTAATATTAATTTTGCTGTAATAATATAACCATCAATTTATAAATATAATGAATTAATATTATAATCAAATGCAGACTCAGCTATGATAAAAAATCTAAATAACATGATTTTATTATTTATTTAGTTGGTCTTTATATAATGTTTACATCTTCAACTCGATAATGATTATAAATAGATATCAAATAAAAGTATGAGTAAACAGGTGCTGCAAAAGCAGATGGATTTAGAACTGGAATTAGTTTCGGACAAAGCAGAGAAGTACGGAGGTCATTCGTTGGCGCGTGTCAATGTCGTTGCACTGAGTAGTCAGCCAGTCGACCAAGACAAGAGATTGATGAATGATCCGGGCGAACGTCTTTGTCAGGAATTTAGCGATGAGGAGGAGGAGTTTAGCTCGGAAGGTGAGGCCGAAGGCAGTGACAGTGAACCCACGCTCGAGGTCCACCGGAGAAAGAATAGAACTAAGATACCCGGAAATGCAAGGGTATGAGATATTTCCAAATGTTAGGATGAATTTTTTCAACTATACAATTAGCTGGTAGTTTCTAAATTTCTCTGATGTTAATATAAATATTTGTTTAACAAATTAATAAGATTATGGATATTTTATATTAATCTGCTTTAAAGAATGAAGCGATATTCTAATAAATATTTGATAAATATTTGTTCAGTTTTAGATTTTTATGAATATGAGATAAGTAATTATTTATATGTAAATAATAAATATTCATAATAAGTTTATCAATTTATAAATACAATTTAAAACATTAATTTTTTAACATTTATATAATTGAACCAAATTATTCGAATTTACATGTAATTATATTAAATCCTGTTTAATGCATTCAATGTCATAAAGTAAATATAATAATAATTAGTATAAAGGTACAAATTTTAACAATTCATAATAAGTTATTAATATTATTATAATTTAATATTTTTATATCATAGAATAATTTGTTTAAACATGCACGCATTGAAATATATTTATTCATTAAATTATAATATATATTTAATTCTAGTTCGATACAACTTTTATATCTTCTAATTTCAGCAAAGGAATTTAAAACAAAAATTTATTGCTTTATTAAAACGATTTAGAGTGTCCGAGGAATTGGAACATGATCAAGAAGAAATTGGTCAGAAATTATCAGGTTGGTTTATTGAATAATTATATATATATATATATATTGGCAGCGACATAAGGATAACATGGGCATGAAACAATATATTTTAGAAGATTATTTTGACGATTCTAAATTTGAGTAAAATTATACTAAATTGTAGTGAAATTTCAAATATTCATGAAATAGAAATTATCCCAGGTTTCATTGTTAATATATTTTCAAAAATTAGTATTAAAGCTTCAATCTTGCAATTATGAATAGTATTCGTTGCATATATTAAGTTAAAAGCTTCAAACGCTTAGCTTTCTCATAAACGAAAAAATTACTTGAATTCTTGATCAGGTAAAGCAAGATTGATAACGAATACATTGTGTGTAGGTGGTGACATGGAAATCGAGGAGTTGTTTGATGAATTAGAAGATTTATCGGGCAGTGACCCAGAATTAGATACAATGTCAATCAGCAGTACACCGAAGCCATCTTTGCGGCCATTTTTTAGTTCTAGTCGTTCACTTCTAGCTCCTCCACAATCTGGTGAGTGCATTTCGAATTATTATCGATTCAAAATTTTATAATAAACAATAATTTTTCATCTAATTCTTATTACACATAGACAGAATCGCTATATATATAACAATTTCAATTTTAAGTAGTTCGTATTATTTACGTTGTCTCTAAAATATTATATTAGTAGTGTTGCACATTAGGATTTTCATGTTTGAATCATTTTCAATAGTCGAAATAAAAATTTTATGAAATAAACTATGAATTAAATTTCATCATTTTAAAATGAAAATTGATTTAAACTTTTATCAATCTAAACTGATTCATGTAAACATACTTGTTCTCATGTAGTCTGGCTTATGCTTTGGTTTATTAATGTTTATTATTTTTTTCTTACATTTAGATTAAAAGTTTTTATTTATAATGCAACATATTTATTCAAGATAGTATAAATTCTAATTATTTTTATAAAATATTTATAACTTATTATTTAAATGTAAAATTAACCTTGAAAAAATAATTTAATATAACTATGAAGTAATTAATGACAATTTTTCTCTAATTATGTAATTGTATTAATTTTTATCAATTATTTATTAAGTAACATAATTTTTAAATTGGGTAAACAAGTGTAAAAATATGAAAGCTTATTATTTGTGAGAATACATTTTGTTGTAGTTTATAAAATAATATTTCAATACCACTAAAAAATATTCGAAAAAGTTGAAAAGGAAAAAAATAAAAATAAATTTACTAGTTTGTGAAGATTAAAAGTAGTGTTTGTTTAATCACTTCTTGTAAATACTAAAATTAATTTAATTACGAAAATACAAATGAAAGAATAAATTGTTTTAAAAATTATGCTAGTGAAAGTATTCAAAATTCTATAAAAATGAATTTTTATAAAACTTGTGCTGAAATGTATATAATACTACTTTTATAGGATATAAAATTTAGTTTGCGATAGATTACACATGATTAAAGTGGGATGAGTCGTAATTTTAATGTTTACAAATTATAATAACTTTAAATACTACATTATTTTATTTATAATTTGTATGACTAATAATTGATCTTTATATATCTCCACAATTATTTCTCATAGCTATATTTATTCATTAAGCACAATTGTTCCACGTGTTCAAGTATGCGGTATATTGCCAACATGGGTAATTAAAAATTGAACTCAATCTGTATTGATCTCAAAAGAAGTAGCTCATGAATTAATGAGTTATGGCGAATGTAAAGTATGAAAATTTGTCACAAATGTATTACCTATAAAACACATTGTGGGACTATCAGTATCCGGTGTAATTGTTGGAGAATTAAGGAAATAAAAGCTTTTGATATGAAACTAAGTAAGAAATGGTAGGTTGACTTTGCATTGTTGCATGGTACGATTCGATAGTAGTAAACATCGAGGAGCCTGGAAACAACGTGTTGATGCCTCTCTCTCAGCCATTATCTGGACAATCTAAAGAAAGATCCCGGATCGGATACACTACCTCAGGTATGTAGTCATGGGACAATGGAAGGATGCATATAACTTTAACTAAACGATCGGTCATAGATTGGAAGGCATACATAACAAGTTTTGATCGACCTAATTATTCTCTCAATTAATTGTGCACCTTTCTTTTGTTATTATTTAATTCCTGTACTTCTTTTTTATTCGACAGCAAGCAGTTAGTCCAAGTACGTGATTGAAGAGAGGTCTTTCAAGCTAATACGTTTTTTAAGAGATTGGTTTATTTGTTCTTCTAATTTAATGCTATATATATAATCGAACTTTTCTTTGTGATTTCAGTCCAACCAAGCATATTTACATTCATGAAGTAAGTTTTACGAGTGTAATAAAAGTTTAATGCAATGTATTTTTATCATAATAAGATTTTATTTTACTAAATCAGCCAAGTGTTCATTAAAGAATATAAAAAAAAAGAATTATTAGTTTTACTAGATGTGTTTAATTACTTAATTCACTTTTATATATTCACAGAAATTAACAGTAGATGCAAACATTTTCATTAAATATAACTATTGCATTCCACAACCAATCACATTATCAATTTGTAATATTTAAAACAACCAAATATTAAATTGTTATAATATGTTTTTAAATAAGAATTATCAAAAACTATTTAAAATAAGTTTTTAAATACACCATTCAATTAATTGTATTAAATATTTTATATTATCATTAATATATTACAAATAAATGCTAAAATTATTACAGTCTAATGAAATAGAAAATCATCAATTAAATTTTATGATGTGTTTATATTATTATTTTGCTAATTTTTCTATCGAAAACTATTTTACTTTAGTAATAATTTATAAATTTAATACATTTTTTACAATATCATGTAAATAAAAAGTTTGAACTTCTCTAATAATATATTTTTTGGAATCTGACGATTATAAAATGATGTAGTGTAATTATTATAATCTGACGATTATCAAATTCTTTTATATAATTCGGATATTCCTTTTATTTACATATATTTATATATATTTTTGTTTGAATAATTTTAAATAGTAATTATATGCAAATAAAATTGTAGAATATATTTTATTATTATTTTCAAATTAAATTGAATTAAATTAATTTAAAATTAATGTAACAAATATTATCTATTGTTTTTTAATTATTTATTCAAATAATTTCTTTTAACATAAGTTGCATACAAAGTATTTAATTTATTATACTTTTAATTTATTCCTATAATTAACATTCATTAAATAGTCATAAATATAATTCAATTATTGAATATTTATGTTTAACAAAGAAAATAAAAATTTGATACAAATAAATGTATCAAATTAAAAATTTATTTAACTATAATTAATATTTTAGTACTGTGCACTGAAATTCTCTAATTATAATGACTTTCCTTTTACAAACAAAGATTATTCAACCCATTATAATTGAAGAAAATTTTCAGAATTTTTAGAAAAAATAGTAAATATTAAACTTAATTTAACTGTAACAACAGAAACATAATTATGAAACTCTAAAAAAGAGAAATTATTTATATAAAATAAAAACAATAGCGTTGATGAAAAAATGGAAATTCACTAAAATGTATTATTACAATTTTATTTCGATATAGATTCATATAATTTAATATAAAAAATAAATGCATTTTCCTCATGCTGAACAAAATTATTTTCCCTTGTTCAAATTAATTACAGCTTACAGTTTATTATATTATAATTGTTATGACAATATATTTCACCTATTTTGATAGACCTCATATTGGTTAAGCGTTAATCAAAAGAATAGCAATAGTAAGAATATAAAACTTAAAATTGAGTCGTTGAGACCGATTATGACGGAGCACACATTCAGAAAATAGAGGTAGCTCTTTTGATTAAAGGTCATTTTTTGATCAGTGAAAAAACTGTTCTATTAAATCCTACAAGCATGGAATAAAAGAAAAGACAGTACTGATATGTGATCATTTTTAATGTCAGAATACGTACCGACCCGGAAATAGCTTGCGTTATCGCTCGAGGCATTCATCGCATAACATGAACAAGTATATTTACGAACACTAATTATTAACAGGCTTTTGTAAGAGCAGTTCAATGGCTTTTGGCATTTCCCTGTAAATTTTCTTTTGAAAATTATTAATTGGAAAGTGGAAAGTTCGGCACATAAATTAAATATAACTTCTACATTTATTATCTCAATTATTATCATATAGCGAAAAAGCGGGTTTTCAATATACGTTCGTCAAAGCTACAAAGTCAGTGATTAAATAAATCGCAAAAAATGGATTAAATTTTATATTTATTAAAATGCATAAAATATTCAAGTAGATATTGCTATCTTACAATATTCTATGAAATTGTTAATTTTGTTCTTTTATTAAAAAATTTACTTCACGTCATGTTTATTTTTGTTCAGCATCTTATGACACCATTAATTGATTCTTCTAAATTTTATTTATAAATTAGGATATTAAACTATACCAAACATTCACTTAACTAACCGATTCTGATGATGAGTTAATTAAATCAATTATAAAAACGAATAAAATGTATATAATCTATGTAGTATATTAAAATTAAATACACATTCATTTTAAAAACATTTTATTTTCATATTTATATTTGAATATATTTACTCTGCGAAAATACTAAATTAAAAATTTTTATAAAACTCCGTTTTAAGAACAAACATAACTGGAAGACCGACTCATAGGTAAATAGAAAATATTGCATTGTCTATATTTGTAATTTTATTTGTTACATATATAATATTTTTATTTGTTTTTGAGAAATAGGTTTCAGTGGTCAATATTTTTTTTTCATTAATTTTATTTTTTAATTGTTTCCGACAGTTTATTTAGTTTCATTAATTTAGAAAATTGTCGTTTCTAATTACAAAATTTTACACTAACACATGAATTTATTTGTAAAAAAAAATTAAACTGTTGGTTATGATAATCAAAATAATTTTTTAATATCGACTTAAATCATGAGAATATTATAAAATATATAGGTAATATATAAATATATAGATAAATCATAGAAATTAACTAAATTATTAAATTTAAAGTAATTTTTAGATATCAAAAACTGTTCATCGAGAATATTTTTATAATCGTTAATAACAAATATATATAATGTAAGCAGTGTTCATTATAATTGCGGTAAATTCTAGTCACGAAACTAGAAAATATTGCTACGAGCGAGTTAATTTTTTTCTTCGACTTGTAGAATAAATCTAAAACAATCAAAAAATGGTAAGTTTTGCCTTTCCCTTTAATTTATCTTGTGTTTCGACTAGAAATTTCTATGAAAGCTATTATACATACCTATTAAAGAGTCAAATCATCAAAGGAAAATGATATAACATTAGATAACGTGACTGGGCTGTTTCAGAGCGAGGTGTCGATAGGCAAAGTGATGACAGCTCGCGTCGTGCCGATAGCGACTCTCATCCAGAGAACTGGACGGATCATGAGGCCAACGATCCGCCGAACCACGCACTTGCAGGTTCGCCACCGAAACTTCTAAACGACCATCAGCAGGGGAATAAGGAAAAGAACGAAGTTGGAGACAGGAAGAGCAGGTTGTTTACAAGAGACCGGGGTGGGCCTGGCAGTAACAAGGCCAAAAAGCACAGTCTCAGTGTCGACCTTAATCTCAAGCCCCTTCTCAATGATCTCAACAACTCCGAAGTGAGAATGATTATTATGCAGCCTTTCTACTGTTCCCTTCGTTTATTTATGAAAAACTTTGAGTTATAACATACTTTTTTACCGTTCCTCTGAACTTTGTCCTAATTATTTCAATAATATTAAATGTAGATTTTTTAATTTACCTGAGTTTGTCATAGATGGTGATAATATCAAGCAATATAATATTTATCATAAATAATATTTACAATAGAATAAATATTGATTATATAAGTGTTCCATCATATAAATATAAATTTATGGAATTCTGTTTATAAATTAAATTCTTTCTATCTAGAAAATAGTAAGGGAAGATTCATAAAATTCATAAAATATATATTTCATGTTTTTATTCTTATTAAAAAAATTATACGAATTTTTTCAAAACTATGATTTGTTATTAACGGCAGGTTCATAAAGGTATTAATAATTTTGAACATTTATTATAATATAATAATGTATTTAAATAATCTAAATGTTTGTTGAAGCATATATATTAAACAGAATAAAGAATCTAATCTAATTTTGGTAACTAAAAATGATCAAATAACAATATTTTTTTATTGAATTACTAACTATGAATGAAATATTCAAATAATTTTTAAAAGTTTAATTTTTTTAAATCAACAGAATCAAATAACATGTTTTCGAATATATTTGTTAAGGAATGGATAGCATCCTTCTTTTGAAAAATAAAGATTAAAAAATTACTAACTGTAAAAGTACTTTAAGTACTATAAAGTATATATGAAAACTGTAAAAGTACTATAATATACTATAAGTATATATAAAGTCAATTGCAAATGGATTTTCTAAATAAATGTATTCAAGCTTTATTTATTTCTCAGTATATACCCAGTTATAATTTATAATTTGAATTATCGAATTAAAAAAGGTAAACTTATCAGAGTACCTAATTTCTTAAACTTGTTCAAATATAAAGAAATATAAAAAAAGTATCTTAAATATTGAATCGTTCAAAATGATTTATTGACGTTGATGTTTAGCCGAGGAAGTTACTAGTGGAGCAGTTGAGCCGTGTTCTCCCGGATGACACTTTGCCGGATTCCATTGCATTGGTTTCTCTCTCAGATCCAGGTGGTGCAATACTTGCTGCTAATCTCCAAGATAGAAATATTCGCGTCCTGACTGCAGCTTCACCCGCTGATGTACGCGCAACCTTCACGTGTCTCATTGCCCGAATACAAAAATTGTAAGTTCAGATATTGTTATTAATAGCATATAGATAAAGTTATTATTAGGATGCATACTCAGATATTTATGTATGTTAGTATAATTATATAATAGATTACGGGCATGTTTTAGTATCGTATATTACTTAACATTTTTATGGGTAAAATGTTGTTTGTGAAAATATTGTTTAAGAAATCCAATATCATCTCATGCAAATAATAATCATCAACTTTTTATTGCATTCAATAGATTCATATAAATTTTATTGATGAAAAATAAAGTTATCTTGAGTTTTCAAATGAATATTGTTTTAATTAAATATTATCCCTATAAAAGTAAAATCAAAAACACAAATGTTTATTACAATTAAATGTTCAATAATATTGACTTAACCATGATATAATTAATGTTAAAATCTATTCACTAGGAGTACATTACTTATTTCAAAATAATTACTTGATCGACAGGTATACATATTCGACTATGATAACAATGGTAAAAAAGAGAGAGAAATGTAAAAAGCCTTATTATTTATTTAGTTGCAATAGTTCAGCGAAGCCACCAACGCCGATTAAGGTGGTGACGGCCGGTGGCGATGGTTTCGTAAATACGGTGCTGCGCCACTACGTTGACCTTTTGAGTTTCAAGTCGCCCGACTGGCAGAGTTATTTGCGCTTTTTCGTTGTACCTCTCGGCTCTAATAGCCTCGCTTGGTACCTCGCCTCCGTGGATGCCAGGTACTCTCTTCTTTTTTGTGATGAGTGGCGAGAGCTCTTAGAACGCGAGGGAGCGTGTGCTGGTGAGTGCGCGGCCAGAGTTGCTGAATATCTAGCCTCTTCCGCATGGACGCTGCTCTTGCCTATCGCCGAGGCCATGGTCACCTATAGGTAAATGTAGAGTCAATGCTTTCTTTGCTTACAGCTGTTTATATTTCTTCTCCATTTGTTATTTTGGACAATAATTTAAACCAATGCACAATGTTATTTTGGACAATAATTTAAACCAATTTTTTTTTAGATTTTTGGTTTCAGCTTGTAATGTATTCTATATAATGAAACATCTAATAATATAAATATACAATTTAATAATTTTTAAATAAAGTTAATGCATAAAGTTTCTAGGAGAATTTTTTATAATTGTTTTCATATTATAAATAATAAAATAATATAAATCGTATTATAATTAAGGGCATTGAAAATCAACTTATTTAATTATATTAATACATTAACATAAGCATATATACAAAAAATGTACACAAGTATTTTGAAGAAACCGGAAATTTTATTATTATTTACATTATTACATATTTTTGAATAAAATAAAAAAAAATAAAAATATAAGTATATAGTATTAACTGTTTTTTTTAATAACAAAATCATATGTTTAAATTAATCGAGTAAACTTATCCAACATTTACTTATAAATGTTTATGTACCAACGAATTCTATTGGCAAAACATTAAATAAGTATTGAAATAAATGTATGAAATAATACATATATGAATGCGCATGTCTATATAATTTTATTTGTAAAGTAATATTTAATTTAAATATTTGTTATATAAACAAAATGAAAATTTAGCACTAAGTATTAAAATGGTCTTGTTTGTAAATGCAATTTATCGCAATAAATGCAATAAAAATAAATCAATCGATAATTGAAATTGGTGGTTTGACATACTTGTAATTTTTTATCGTGATGTACATTTAAAAAGAAAAAATTAAGTCTGGTTAATGTCTATAAGATAAACGAGAGATAAAACATTATCTTATATTCGATTACCCTTATCTTTGATACATTATATTTGAATTATTATTAGTAGAGTAGTATCTTAGATTCGATCAACTAATGGTTTTTTGGCGCCTCCCCTAACAGGGAAACTGACGACAGCAGCCAGATTTTCGTACCATTCGTGAATGATGTGCGCGTTGGCTGCTACGAGAGTAGTGCTTCAGCTTCGGTTGATCTAGACGAGGGCGGCGCGACAACCTCGAGCTCTCCCCCGTCGCTCCCAGCCTCGGGCTCCCTACCTATGGGACCAACTTCGGGTAGACTCACTCCGCCCAGCAGCCCCAACGTTGGTCAGCCAAGGGAAGGCTGGGAGCCCGTAGAACTCCAGCTTGACTACTGGGGCAAATCCACTACCAGTGAGAAGGTCAAATGCTCCCTGAGGCAAGCTTTTAAGATCTTGCACGTACAAAGGTTGTCACCCTCTGGAGAGCCTCCTGGACAGAATCTCTCCATCTTCTATATGACCAAAGAAAAAAAACAGAAAAGTAAGTACTCACGACTGCGTGAGAACCATTAATCGATGAGTTGAAAATAAATTTAAATTTTATTATCCGATTTTGATAATTTTTTTAAAATTTATAATTTAAAGTTCTAGTTTGTCATTTATATTTAAAAAGTAGTGCTTGATAAAAAAATTTTGAAAATAAAATTGAAGTAATAATGTAAGTAATTACTGATTAAGTACATGCATTTCTACTTATTTGTTATATCCATTTGTTTCAGTAATGAGACTGGGTAAGAAAAAGGAAAAAGAAAAAGAAAATGAGCCAAAGTGTCAACAAGTTGATGGTGTAACACGTCTAATATGTTCAGCAAAGACTCAAAACATTCCACTAAGAGGTAAAAACTATTTATTATTTTAATTTGCTTATAGAACTTTATGAATTAGCAAGCTAATAAAAAATATAAATTGTAAATGCACTCAAGGAAATTATTTGACATTTAATAAGCAAATTTGTATAAAAAATGCTATTAGCTATTGTATATATTCTGCTATTAACTGCTTATTTATTGCATAAATATATTAATATACTCATGCAAGTAACTTATAGTTAAAAATATTATTCTTTATTATATTTTCAAATAAACGTTGTTTAAATTTTTTTAAAAATAATTTTAATAATTGAAAATATTAAAATAACTATAGAAATATTAATTACAAATTTTTTTTTATTAACTTTTAGATAATAGTAATAATAATAATTATTATGCAATAGCATATCAAATTTAATAAAAAAATTTTGAATAATTTTATTTATTGTAATTTATAATGCTTTGAATAATAACTTCATACTTTAATAATGATATATACACAAGTAAGTTTGCATAAGTCATTAATCAAAGTACTGCAAACTTCAATAAATAAAATTATTTTAACTTTTGATCCATTAGAAATTATTTGAAAATTTTACATCTAGAAATCTAAAAAATATAGTTAAATACTGACATAAAACATTAATTTGCTAGATCAATCTTATATTTGAAAATACGTTGCAGTGAGCATCGACGGCACGGAATGGTACGGTGTCAAGTTCTTCCAGCTCTCTTCTCAGTGGCAGACACACATTAAAACCTTTCCAGTTGCAATGCTAGCCTTCAATTCGCAGCAGCAGTCACCGAGCCTTACGTGAATCAATGGTTTCTTATTCGTTACTTCGTATTTGAACAGAAAGGCAAATGAGAAGAAGTGATACTAGAAATACGTAACAGCTCAAGATATTATACTTTAGAATATGAATACTTACGTCTATCTAATCAATTTTGAGCTCCCACTTTCATCGATAGCTAAGTAAAAAAATTAAAGTTGGAGTATATTTCAATAGAGGTAGATGTATTTTTGGTGATTTGATGATGATTGATAGCATCCAATTCCTATGTATTTTATAGTAAGTTCCAGGAACACTCATGTTTATGGTGATCTATTAAATTAGAGCAGTTTTATTTTTATTTGAGATCGAAAAGTGATATAATTAGTATTTTGAGAGAGTTATAACAATCGTAAGAAAGCTTGTTGTGGATGTGTGATGCGACTCTGATTTATTAAATAATTGTAAGACGTAAAATAAATGTTTTAACTATTAAGAATTCTTCCTTCATAACTATGTATATTAGAACGTAAGTGAGTGGAAATTACACTACTTACTTAAAAGTAGTTCAAAATATCTATAGTTAAATTAATATCTTTAAAGCACGTACTACAAAGCCCTTTCGTATGATAGCTACATAAATCTAATACTCTTAGTAGAAAAATGACGTTCTTTTATTATAATTTATAAGTAAACTTATTCTTAATATGTTATGTTCTTTATTAATACTTTAAAGTATTTTTAATCTGCAAGTTTATTTAGTCAAAAGATTTATTTTATATTTTAAGGAGGTATAAATTACTTAATATTTGACGTACTATATTATATTTCATTTTATTTACAGAATGATATTGTTACAATGCCAGAAATTTTGTATAAATTATCAATTTTTAAGTTCAAATTAACAAGAGTGATCAGTATATTTAAGAAATAGGTAAAATTCATTTTTTCGAAAAATGAAACAATTAATCGTGAATAATTTTTTTGTGAAAATATACATGATTTCTTCAAGAATATAATACTTTTTGGACAACTTTTATAAACATGTTTGAATGAAACCAAAAATTACTAATTTGTAAATAGTAAGTTTTATTTAATATCAAATATTATGAAATATAGTCATTATTGTTAAATCATGTTCCTAAACAAATATATAGAAGCAATATATAGAATAAAGACATTTTAAAATATATAATCCATTTACAAAAAAAGTAGTAAAATAGTAATGATGTGCAATATTAAAAAATATTGTTCTCAGACATATCTGAATAAATAATATAAATGAAAAGTAAAACAAAGCTAAATAATATGAATCTAACGTAAAACAAAGCTAAACAGTATAAATGTAAAGTAAAATAAAGCTATTGAATATCTAAAGTAAATCCAAGATAAAATTAAAGCAGTTTTTTTGCTGAAAAAGTAATTATTTTTTTATTCTTGTTAAATATGTCAAAATTTTCTAAAGTATATTTTTTTATATATATTAATAAACGAAAAGCTATATTGCAAAATAGCTTACAAAATTTAAAATAATCAACATAATTTCTTAATAATTTTAAATAATAGTTAGCGTTCATAATTATTTAATTAGATATGAATATTAAAAATCAATTCCAGTTTCTTTATATTGTTTGTACAATAGAAAATTCTTTCCTTTGAAAAGTTATAAAAACTATCTTTATTTATCTTTAATTAAAGTATTATTAAAAAAAAAATAGTTAAAGTGAAACCTGTTCGAGAACATTTAAATAAAATCGTAGGTATTTTTAATGATGATTATGTACAATTTATTTCTTTATTTGAGATGATAGTGTTTTACCAAATTTACAATGCATAAGTAAATATTTAGAAATTTATTGTATAATAATTAATTATGCAATTTTACCTAAAAATTTATGAATTCATATAAATTTAATTAAAACATTAAATAGATAGATATATATTATATTTTAATAATCATTTTCTATAAAGCTTTTTTAAGAATGATCATATAAAATCCTTATTAAAAACTGTATATAAAATTTATTGTCCTTGATCTATAAAATAAAATATGTATTCCATCTTCTGTAACTCATATTCAAAATTTAGAACTTCATTAAAAAATATAATTGTAATTATTGCAAAGTAAATATTTTTTATATTAACTTAATTTTATTCAAACTTTTTCTTAAGAAAATGTTAATTTTTGATTTCTATAAATTAAAAAATATATGCATATTATAAATTTTTTATAAATAAATTTGAATAATTTATTTAAGTTTAAATATAACTAAATAAACAAGTTTATCTTTGTATGTAAACTTTAACTTTGTATTAAGAATATTGGCACACTATATTTAAAATTTTATATTATGTAATAAATATTTGTATGAAATTTTTAAAATTATCAAAATAAAAAGTAATTGCAAAGTTCATTGTACAAATATAATATAATGCAAACATGCTAGTTCTTTAATAATAAAATTTGAGTATTTTAACTTTGACTTTAGAGTTTTGTAAGACAGTATATAAGTAATAAAACGATTTTGAAAATAGGTTCATGTACTGCAGTGCTTCTTCCTATAAACGTTCCTTGTAACATTTCAATTTGTAAGTTATAATAAAATGCTTTATTTATATAAAAACAATAAAGTAATTAAAAAATTGTCATATTTCTGTGCACTTAAATACGTAAAGATATAAAAATATTGATTTTGATTATTTAATGGAAAATCTTCTAAATTCCACAAATTAAATAAAGTATAAATATGAAAGTAGTAATAATGGCAATTTAGCTTTTTCTATTTGAATTTAATAAAAAATAGGGGGAAATTTGTATATAATTAATTATGTTAATTTCTATAAGAAAAATTAATGTATAAGAATTTTTTCATATTTAGTTTAAATTTAATTTTATATTAATCTTAAACCAATTACTCGTAAAAACATATAAGTGAATACAAGCTAATTTCAGCTTCATATTATTAACATTCTGCTAAAAAATCTTGATTTTTAAACTGCAAATAATAATTCTAATTCAATAATAATTTAAACAACCAGTTTTATTTAAATAAATATCTAATAATAGGTAACATACAATGACTTTTAAATATTTCTTTTATATTTATACGAAAAAGTCTATTCCCTGTCTCTAAAAAAATAGCAATTTATAACAAGAAAATATAACCCTTCATATACATTATTAGTATTTTCTTTTATATACTAGTCATCACATTGTAACAATTTGTTTATAAAAAATTGACAAAAAATAATATACAAAAGTGGTGAAATATTAAAATAATAGAAACTAGATGAAATTTGAATAATTCAAATCATCAGTGTCTAAAATTATACTAAAATGTTAATGGATTTGATAAAATCGATGTTAAAATTAATTTTGTTATTAAACGTATACAGAAAAATTAAATCTAAATTTATAATTATAAATTTAAACATTAATTAAAGTTTCGATGTTATTATTTATATTTACAATGAAAATATCTAATTGTAAATTAAATATATTTGCATACATATATGTATACAATTTAATGTAACGTATTACTGTATAAAGTTCTATAATTTATAAATTTAGTTAATTGATTCATGAATTTTATTTGTACATCGAATAATTTTTAACGGAAATAAATTATTTGTTGATGATGAATTAGCATATGTAAACAAAAATAGTATATCACTTCAATTACTATTTGATTCATGTCATTCAATAATATTTAAAAATCAAAAACTGAAAAGTTAACATTAATTAAACTCTGATCATTGAAATGATAAAGAATAAAATACTTATATGTGATATATATATTGCAACGTGTTTTAATATAAGAAATTCTGTTATTACGAATTTATATACAATAAATACTAATTTTCTAAATCGTATTAATTATCAATGAATTCAATAAACTTAATATTGATATTAAAATTTTCAATTAATTTGTTTGTGATTCTATTTAAAGAAGTATTATATATATTTTACATTTAAATTTTGATAAAGAAAAATTAAATTTTCTACTTATCTTTAAGATTATTTCCCTGTCATATTATATATATGTAAGTATCTGTTCAAATGACGAGATAATAAGTATATGTTAAATAAGAGATAAAATTTAAATAATTAGAAATTGCTGTTTGAAATTGCCGTCGAATAACAAATTATAAAAAATGTTGATGTTTGTAAGCTTGAAATATAAGTGTAACGTTGTTTCTAGTACTCTTCTTGTTCATTCTTAGATAACTTACCCTATTCTGTCCCACATTCAATTCTAATTATTTAGTTAAATATATGAGTATTATACAAATAAAACACAGAATATTCAAGATTAAGCCACATTTATTTAGTCTTCATTAAGTCAGTTTAAAGATTGTATTTTATTTGCTTTTTTAGTTTTTCATGAGAGACAGGTGATAATCAACATATTTGATGGCACTTGATTACAATTAATTTACGAGAATTTTTATGAAATGAATTTGGTTGTAACCATTTGGAAATGGTTTCAAAGTTAATGATAGATTTCTTTATTATTGACATAAATAATTAAGATAAAAATGTTTTTTCAACAACTTATAGAGATTTAAATCAATCTTTGTAGAATTTTACTATTTCAACAACTTTGCAAACAACTAAAACTGTTATGCAATAACAAGTTACATATAAAGCTACTTTTATATGTTAAAAATAAAGATTTTGTATCATTAGCATAAATGACTTTCAAATATGGATTTATAAACGTTTTTTGGTATAAATAGTAAATAATCCATATTATATATAACAAATATATCTAGCAATCGTGAAAACGATTATTTTTTTCTATAAAACTTTCAGCCTCATTAGCAACTATTTTAATTAATAAATAAATAATATGCTGCTAGCAATATAAAAAGACGAAAACAATTTAATGATACATATATATTAAAATACAGACCAAAATAATTATAATATAATCCATAATACAAAATAATAGCTGATTTCAAAAAGTAAATACGAATGCATTTCATTTAAAATTCTGCTTGTATTTCTGAGTGAAATGGGCATGAATTCATTGGTTATCCCTAGCTACTACATTTAAATATCTTTATTATTTTTTCAAAGTGCCAAAAAATGAATAGCGACCTTGAGAGTAATAAGAATTTCTTTATTACTGTTTTGTTTCCATATTATATATGACAGTGAAAGATGTAAAACCAATTGAAAATTATATTTTACGTTATGATGAATATCTGCAGGATGCAGAGAAAAATAAAAAGTTTGCGATTATTTACACAGCACCTGCAAAGAAAGTTTGCATGGTTATTCACATCTGTAAAAGTTTTATTTACTATATACACATGAAAATTGAAATAAGAACGAAGGCATAAAAAATGAATATTTCCTTTTGTCTTTTGGTAATAAAATCAATACAATTAGAAGAGGCTATCAAATTAATATAAGTTTATTAGTATTAGTAGCACTGCTCTGTCACTGTGATATGGATTATATTATTTCTTTCAGCAAATCGATTCATTGTAAACGATAGAAATTCACAATTCTTTTAAATAAACGTTTTGAAATTTAACAATCCAAAATAATTATATTTAAATTAAAATTTCATTTAAATATGGTGATAATTGCAAATTTCTAAATTCATTATATGATATAAAGAGCTAAACATTTTAATAATTCACAATCAATAATTAAAATAAATCAAATAAATGATAGTTATCAAAAAACATGCATAATTCAAATCCATAAGATACATACGTTATAATTATTTTTAATTTAAAAAATTGCTAATACTCAGTTAAACAATATAATGAATTCTGTGACTTTTAAATAAAAGCAATTATATTTAAAATAAGCGAAGATATGCATCGCATGATCTATGTACCAAATCTAACATTTTGACTCTAGGTATTAACAAAAATTTAATATTTTTTTAAGGTAAATAATGTTAATTTTTCAAATGAAAATAAATGGTCTCGCGTTCGCACATACTTTACTAATGTCCTCTAATAATATCCTACGTGTGGCTAGAGTATTAAGGTTAAGATCATAGTAGAGGTGTAATGACACCTCTAGTAGACATAGTCGCAAAATAAATAAACAAAGCGGGCGAGAATATGTTTTCAATCATAAGTAGAGAAAAAACAAGTCTTCGCATAGCGGTAAATTAAATATCGTTTTTAGTGAAAGGTTTGCCTAGGCCCACCGCTTCGAAATTAATTTATTGCATCTGGGCCTCTCAATCATATGGATGGAGGGCGAGGGCGCGTCCTCTGAGGCCTCGCTGCCCTCCCACACCGCCCTTCGGTATTACGTAACCACCGGCATGCCGGGCTGTGCCTTCCTCCTCCAAATTGCCGTTGCTCTCAAGGAGGTCGCGCAGGGGCCAACAGGCTAAGTGTCGTGACTTGCCATGACGCGCCAGCACGTGATAGCCGTGTCTAAGACAATAAAAAGTATAAAATTCTTTTTCCATCTTGTTGCTACATTTCCATTATCACAGATTTCCAAGAAACAAAGCTTCCTATCTTTTTTATAAATAAAATATCATTATCCTTTTATTTAAGTATTCTTATGAAAAATAATCTCAATAGTTTGGAATATCGCATTGTCAACAAATATATTTGATTTTCTAATGCATCACAACGGTCTTGTATGAAAATATATCATTAAATGTTCTCTTTTTATTTATATTTAAAACTAACGCAAACGTTTAATTTTAGACAAATAAAACATATTTAAAAAGAAATTAGATTAAATAATTATTTGTTTCATTATTAACATTATAATTACATAAATTGATATTATTTTAATTATTTAAATTTTATAATTTCTATTTTAATATTAATGAGTGTTATTCCTGAATTCAATTACATGGATAAACAATAATTGATTATAATTGTTATATTAAATAGCTTCTTTCAATAACTTTTAAAATAGTAGAAAAATATTCAACTAAGATGATGTAAAATAATAAATTAATTGCAAAAACGAACTTGAAAATTATTTATAATTTTTTTTCTATATTATTTATATCATAGTTGTAATACTATATAAATTTTGAAATTATTTTTATATATTAAATTTAAATTGATCCATAATTAACAACTAAATGAGTGAAACACTTTTCAGCAATAATATATAATAGAAAGTTCCAATATAAAATTATTTTAATACCTTGAAGAAATAAGACCTACAAGGAGTGCCCAATGAGCTTTGTGACCTCTTTTTAGACATGGAGCATCATTGAAATCAGCATCATAAGGGATCAAAATCATTCCATTGTGTGCAAGTGCATGCGTAAGAGAATCTGGACAACTTTGTAAATCTACAAGCATAACAGGCCTATGTCCTGGTAAATATTCAGCTGCAAGTGTTGCCATGAAGTCTACACTATAAACTTCTCCATGTTGAGTAAATCCACGTACTCTTGCTTCTGCTAAAAGCTGACTCACCGATACTGGATTTGTATACTCTTGGGATGCCATAGCAAGTGCTACTAATCCACACCTTAAGAAAGAAAAAAATAATACACATATATGAAAATTTACAGTCGAATATTATATCAAAATATTATATCTAATTCTTACTGAGGTCCATCTTGAAGAATTGGTTCTACGTGACAAAAATATGTTACCTCTGCATCTTTAAGTTCATATGAAGCTATTAATTTTTCTATTTCTGCTTCAGTAGATGTTAATGTAATTTTTGCCCATGGAGGAAAATTATCACTACCATTAATATCCACTTTATCACAAGATCGTGTTTGTGTTAAATTGGGAGGTGGTGGAGGTGGTGCAGGCATTTCTTATTTGAATTAAGATCAAACAGTTTTTACTAGATGTAATAGTGTTCCAAAAATAAATTTGTTATATATAAATAAATAATACTATTCTTTATAGCTAATATTAATAGCTATTAATAATATTATTTAGGTAAAAAATAGACATGATCTTCTTCAATCATTTTAAAGCATTGTTTTTCTTCCTGTAATTCAAAACATGTAAATAAGATAATTGAATGACAAAATAATATGTAAAAAATAAAATAATTTAATTATTCTGACATTATTAAAAATACATTTAAATTATTTTATAATCTTCACCTGAAATCTAAAAAATTGAAAAAAAATGATGAAATACATATTATATCACAAATAGGAAATTGCAAATAATCTTTCAATTTTATTTGAAAAATGAGCAATTTATTATTAATTAAAGTAAATATTTTAAAAAATTTGTTATCTAACTGATCAAAACAAGTATTTTATTATACAAAAAATGACCAACATGTGACCTAATATGACGATATTTATTTAAAGACCTTGAAATGACATTTACAATACAGAGAATATCAAATGGAAAATAATACCATAATAAGAGAGTAAGAATTTTCATATATGAATGTTAAATCGCTTTTCTAAATTCACAGTGAAAATGGAATAAATGATTTAAAAAAAAAGGAGACTATTAAATATAAAGGAAAACAACTTAAAATATTGTACAAATAAAATATTTTAGAATGAAGTTAGATTAACAAAGTTATTTTGTAGTCATTTACGGTTAATATTTTAAAGCAATTTCATTGCAATTCTAAGTAAATGATGGAACTACTAATATTCCTAGTACTAACACGGTGATGTCAACCTCCCTCTTTCGATTTGTTTTTTGAATGAAATACAGGTAAGTAGGTAGGTCGGTCGTTCGCCTCGAAATGTGTCACATATTTCAGCAAAAAACACGGAAGCACATAAACACGACAGAAAAATATATCAAGGCATAGCAACAATGAGCGCCATACTCTGACTCATCACAATGTTATTATGTAATTTTATTTCCCAGTAACAGAGCTGCACCACGTAAATATCCCTTATTTTTGGTATATATATGAGATACAACTACAGCGGCTTGCACTTGCTCTTCAGTGCCGTATACTGTATTGCTGTCTGCTATTAAAATGTCAACTTCCACTATTATGCACTTCACATGAAGCAGACATCACAGCTCAGTTACTACTACCACTGTCACAGCTACTGGAGTTACTATATTAACTCGAAAAAGTTCTTAGTGACAATTATAAACGACGATGGACCACGAATCAGATTTATGAAGCACTAGCTATTGAATCGTAATTGCTTTACACCGATAGTAGCGACTCTTTCTCTACTTTTATTTCGTACTTCCGGTAAAGAAAAGAGGGATATTTTTAAAGATCTGTATTATCCGCATTTCATTTATGCATGAGAAACAAAGAAAGAATCAATTTATGTGCCTACATACATTATCACGTACATATAAATGTTAATCGTTCTAATAGTTATTGGGGTTATACAACTATAAAGAATCTTGTTGGCTGTGTCAGATGTATATAATTATTTTTGTACATCATTTACTTACCTTATTTACGATTTCTATACACGATTAGTTAACTATCGAACACCGGAATTTTTCTTAATTTAAATGAAAAACTAATAAATTACAGATTGTTGATAAGATATATAACTCAATCGTTTTTCGATATTAACGTCATAATCTACAATGATGTGCAGACTTAGTGTAAAAGTACCTTACCGTAAATTAAAATCTTTTTAAAATGTCTTTCTTATTCAGTTGTTAAACTTAAGATCTATCATTACTTACTGACTATTTCCAAGGTAAATTATTTAAAAAATTAGATTTTAAATGTAAATAATTTTATAATTATCAATTATTATTGAATTTATATTTAATTAGCAAGAAAAAAATATAAATATATTCATTTTTAACAAAATTTTAGAATACCGCGCATGCGTCCGAATAAGAAATTGTGTATTTTAAACATATATTTTTATTTTATAATTACATATTTTATCTGACAATTCTTTTTTTTTAATAAAGAACTTATTAGATATTGCTTAAATTTTTTTACTATAAGAGAATACTTTTAATATTCCAATATTTATAATTGGTTAAATTTGGAAAAATGCCAAAATTTAAAAACCACGTTCAATTTTGCAAACATTTTTGAATATAATGATTACTTTAAAACAAAATATGTGGTTAAAAAATCAAACAAATTATTAGTTAAGAATATAGCACTATTTTCAAAGGTTTTTTTTTACTAGATGTACAAACATACATACATACACATATATATACAATGTAATATTTTCATATATTATTCAATTGATTTCATGTTAAAACTTTAGATATATACACAATTGAAAGAAAACTTGATGAAAGATATTCCTAACAATGAATTTTTATGGATTAAAAAAATGTTTATTATTACGAAGTTAGTCAACTTTAATTATCACAATTTTACCGTTTAATTCATACAATTTACATTAGGCAGTAAAAAGTAATACAAATTTTTACATTATACAATAATAATAATATAATAATAAATCAAAACGATTATAGTATAATGTTTTTTCAAGATTATTTTAAAATTAAATTTTAATTTTTCAGAATAATTTGAAACAATAAAAGTTTGAAATTACTACTATTTGTATCATTTTTATATAATGAAGATTACGAATATTTACACAGGAATTCTATCAATTATAATATATATAATATATAATTTTATAAATTATATAAAAATGATTTAGGAAATTCAGTTACCTTTAGGACAATGTTTATTCAGACATTGATATATAATTTGCGTTAGCGTATATGATGTTATTTAAGTATATTTAAATAGATGCTATAGGTAATATTTATTATTAAAAAAAAGTTTTGGTAATAAAACTGTTAAAGTTCAAACTTTCGAAAGTTTGAAAGACAATATTTTTTAAATTAAGAGACGCCTAAACGAATATTTTATTTCTCTCAACTATATATACTCACATCATTATAATTTATTCATTATAATTGTTCAAATGGCTATAATAATAGTCTATTAAATGTAATTAAATTAATGTAAAAAATAAGAAGAGAAATTAAGAACTGAAAAGAAGACAATCGATAATTAAGAACTGTTAATGCAGATTATTATATTTGATTATTTATTTAGAATAGAATGTAAATTATAAATTTAATGATATTTAATAGTAATTAGAGTTAATTTATTTAATATTAAAAGTAATATATAGAACAATTACAAAGTAAAATACGCTGGAATTAATTTTTTTTCATGAACTAAAATAGGAAGAGACAGATTATACTTTTAATTTTTTATTTAAACAGAGTCTTATGTTCTTCTATTAAACTGATATTTTATACGAAATATATGAAGGTTGTAATATAAATAAATCTTAGTTTAAGATTATGAAAAATGTTTTTTATAAACAAGGATATTGTTAAAATTTTAAATAAAATCAAATTAAGCAATCACATGATTAATCAAAAGTTTTCAACTCTATTTTAATATGGTTTTTTGCCATTCTGAGAAAATAATATTTTCATTAAATTAATTTTTCACATATATTTTGTGGACAGATAGTTATTTATTTAGTCTGAAAATAAATAATACCTTTATTTTAATTATTGATGTACCATATTTTTAAAAAATCTAAAAATATAATACAAGTGAAGATAATAATGATAAGCATTATAAAAAGTGATAAAAAGTATAAAACGTGAGCCGAATACCCGGAGAGCCGGATCATTGGACCTTTGGCCCTTCGAGCCGGATACAACAGCGGCCAAGGAAGCTGCAATGGACACAAAGAATGTTAGGACTCCTGAAACCACCACACCAGCAAGGGGCGGAACTCTTCAAAGTGCGACATCTTCGGAACTGCCCAATGAGCTCATTGTAAAAGTAAAAACACAATTAAATCGAATCACGATATTGCAGAACTTTGCAGAAAGATTTACCTCATTGCAACATGATGTCACCTTGGAAGAGCTCTCTGATTCATACTTATACACAGATGATATCCACAAGGCCTTCATCAAGGAACACGCGTACCTGGAAATGATTTGGCCAGCTGCTGAATGTGATCACGAATATCTTGAAAACAGCACCTTTGTAAAGGAATCCTTTCAATACTCTACTACGCGAGCGATCATCAACAATCTTCATCAGAAATACAAAACCGAATACGACATGGGAGAGGCTTTACCATCCAATGCAAAATCAACCGGTAATCAACTCCCATCGCCAAGACTTCCCAGGTTTTCTGGAAGACTGGAATGAATTCAGCGACCTCTTCAGGGCACTCGTCATGGAAAACAATGACATTAGCAAGGTAGAAAAATTACATTACCTAATCATAGGACTCCCCCTGACTAAGGAATCACTAGCCCCAGCCTGGGAGCTGCTCACTGAATGTTACAATAACAAACGCCTATCAATTCATTCTAGTCTAGGCAAGCTCTTCCCTCCACTAAAATCAGTCAAAGGGGATGCAGCTACATTGGAAAAACTTGCTAACAGTTCAAAAGAAGCTATTAGACATCTCCTTTCATTGGATGCAACATCAGATTTGTGGAACTACATCTTAGTATATTAAATCTCACAACAATTACACCGAGCTTCAATGGAACTATGGGAGTCTTCACTTGGGACATCCAATTCATATCCAGATTAGTTTATACATAAAATGTATATATTCAAAGATGTGTTTCTTATTAAATACGTATCTATTATCAATTTTCTCATTTAAACATCATTAGGAGTTAATCAAATATTTTATTTTTAGATATATAAAATTTATGCCGTAAAAATTAGCTATTCAAAATTACCTTATTACTGCGAAAAAGTATCCGATTAATTAGTTTATTAATGCAATTGTATACTACCAGTAGTTTCTCGATCGATTTACTATAATTAAATATATTTATTTTCAAATAAAATCCAATTATTTTTATATCACGTAATAAATATTTTTTATATAAAATATTAATTAGAAAATATAAATTTTTACAATAATTAGAATAAGATTAAAACTAATTTTCTAAAAATTTCCACTAGTTGTATTACTTTATCAAAATACACTACTTTACAAAAATAAGTACATTTTATTATATTATTAATATTCAACTATTTAAAATATAATATTTGATTTCATTTACAATAAATGTTATCGTTATTAAAGTTTGATAGAATGTTCAATTTTATAAAATTTTTATATATTTGCATTGTATTTATATGTATGTCTATATTTTAAATATTTCACATTAAAAATGATACATTAACTTTAATATATATTTTACATAAACGTAATAAAAATACATAAATTTATTGCTATTTATTTCTATAATATATTAAAATATAATAAGTACTCGTTAGTTTATATAAGATATTGCGATTAATATCAAGCATGTTAACTTATAATTAATAAATAATAAGACAATTAAAATCCCCACAATTCTTAATTAACAACATTGCAATAATTACAGTATTTTTGAAAAAATTATATGTTATACGAAATAATTATACAAAAAATATTCCAATATTAAAAAGCTTCATTTGTAATTTAAGAAATTATTATTTTAACTAATGAAAAGGATCTGTATAAAATATAGTTTGCTCACACTTTGAAATATTTCTCACAATAAACTTTTTAGATTAAGAGTTTTCATAATCGGTTATGGTATAATACATAACTTTAATTTCGACAAATTGTGAAAATTGGATTTGTAACTAGTATTTTAATTAATATATGTATATAGCTATTCTGATTATCGATATGCCTTTTTCTCTGAATAATCGTCATCTGTGCACTATCACTAATTCCTATGTTAATCTGAATTATATAATGCAATTACGGGTTGATATATTATAAATCCAAAGCATGATTATGTAATTAATTAATAATTAGTTTAATAATAAATCATGTTTTATTAATAATAATTTTCTAAAATTATTTTCAATTTGTTGAATAGTTGAACAATTATTTTTTCTCAATAGATAGTTTAAAATAGATACTATTCTGAAAGTGTTAAACTCTGAAAATTTTTAAGACTTGCATCAAACCTTTTTTATTTTTATTTATTTTATATTTTTTGCGTAATTGTATATCATTGAACCATTCAAAAATAAAGAAAATTAAATTATGAAAAAAAGTGATGGCTCTAAGTTTATTGCATAATTCTAGTTATCCTTAGACCTATCATTAAATAGCTAATTTTTACAAAAATAATGTTATATAGTTTTATAAAACGTTTATTAGACTTGATTCATTTTATTGATGATTTTTCTGGAATTTCTTCTTATTATGTATATTTCATGCCATATTAAATAAATTTTAAATATTTATAGCTCTTAAATTTACTGTCTATCATTAAGTTTGAAAATCATGATATTCGTGTATAATATTTGATTAATGTATATAAGTTAACTTATACCTTAAATTAATATATAATATTTCATTTTTATGTTTCATTTTTTGTATCCTTAACATATTATTCGTAAACTTTTATTTAATATACAAATCATGTTAAAGTATTTTAGAATGTCAATAAAAATTTTGTTCTTTTCCTTTTCAATATATAATAAAATTGATCTTTAATATTACTGTT